AGAGGGGGGGGGGGGCAAAAATCGTCCAAAATCGCGTGACGTCATTTATGGACGGCCTCTTACACAAAACGCTACCTGAAGATGTAATTGGCCAAACACGGCACTCAGCATCATCATTGCGAAAATCTAAATATCTCAATGATTAACAGTTTTGTTGTTGCTTTTTCGGTTTGGTGTTTATGTCGGTTGCTCTGCACAGCGTCAGGATTTGTAGTTAGTCAATGAACGCAGTTGTCACGTGAACAAAGGTGCCAATGTACTGCTGCTTCGGCGCACCGGTGTGTTGTCGGAGAGCAATCTCGCCACATTCAACACAATGGGTCGTCGTAGGCGTAGTACGACGTTTCGCATCATCAGGCAGTTGCCATGAATGCACGCGACAACTTCATTAGTTGGCTGCGTCGGTTCAAGGCGAGTTAACGTCGCGCATTTTACTTACGCGATCTGACCCACACACACACACAAAAAATACATAAATGATTAATCATGACATTGGTCACGCCGAACTCGTTTCATTTAACAACCCGCTTTTAAAAGTGCATCTCCGAGCCACCGTGGCACAACAGAGCACCTAGCCTGGCACAAGCGTCGTGGTGACGTCTCCGCCAATAAGTGGCGAATGGCGGTTGTTGTTGTTGTTGCAGCAGAAAGAGGCGAGATGGGCTTTCTGCTCTAAATATCAATTGGCGGCTACCTGGGTCAGAGAGTGGGGAGGGGGTGGGCCTTCCTACTAGCTGGTCTTCAATGAAGTCCATGTGACGGTTGAGAATTCCAGTCTGCAAGTCACTGAATCTGGGGAGGAACGGGGTCTTTAATCTTTGTCAGACAAGCAGCCACATGGGCTTGAACCAATTGGAGGTCTCGCGGCACCACGAATGTAATTCTCGGTGGGCGAACGAGGGCTCTGGCCCTTAGTAGACGTGAAATTATCCGCAGACAACCGGTCAATGTGACCATGAAATGCGGGCAACATCCGACAGTCCGACCCCTTCGCCGACCACCAATGTTCTCTGCCCACGTCAAACTCCCGTGGAAGGTGGCTCGCGATGCGTGCCAGTCCCACCGCGTCAAGGAATTTGGACGCCTTCATGCGCCACGCGCTGAATGTTCTCCCAATGGATGTTTAGGAGATGCTGGCGGTTGCCCTAATGACGCAAGTTTTAACTGCAGGCCTCGCACACGCGGAGGGAGCCCTAAGGTAAGTGGAAGTTCTTACTTTCAATGTAGATGCAGTCAGTTTTAAAAGCCCCCATATCTGGACAGTCTCTCCCTTTGAAAACATATTTTTCTCCCTATCTCGGGCAGTGGCCAATATTGTTCCTTGGGTGTATGCATATCACAACGTTCTTGAGAGACGTGAAGGTTGTTTCTCACCGTTTCCATGCAGCGACTTGAGATGTGGTGCTGTCTTAGCGTTTACTCGTCAAAGAGCATAGAGCACCGTGCGAATTCATTGGAGAGCATCCTCGCAGTGGCTTTTGGCTGAGCATCGAACAAATACGGTGGTCACCGCATCGCGTGCTTTCAGATGCGCTTCTGCGGCCGCCTGGAACACTCTTCCTTTCGATATTCAGAAGCCACTGGATCTATGCACTTTTAAATACAGATTGAAAACTCAGCTCGTTGGAACTGCTTTTTGTGCTTCGTTTGTTGTTCATCCCCCGCATTTCCAATAAGCGCAGTTGGCTATGTACGGTGCAAAAGAAGTTCAACATACGTCCGTATAATACATCCAACGTTTATGGTGTTGTTATAATATCATCGCTGTACACTCAGTTTTTGTTCCACTAAATCAGTGGTTCTTAACCTGGGGGGCACGTACTCCCTGGGGCTGCGAGATGCCCTTTCTGGGGGTGCGAGACATGGCCACATTTTTTATAAGGTAAAAAAAACCCAAATAAAGGACGGGCACGTAAGTACAACTTTTTTGTTTCATCACACCTATGTGTGTATTAACATTGTGCATTTTTTGTAACGATTCAGAACCATTGCGCTCGATGAATACCCCAGCTCCCCCACGGTACGCGTGATCCATGTGTGTGTACGAGCATGGGAGTCAGTCTAACCATCCACTCTGTGAAACCTCACGGGGGGCGCCATGTATTATTACCCTAATAACAGGCTGGCCTACTACACCACTTAACCTCGTGGCCACGCGCAGTGGGACGTTATTATTATCATTGGAATTTTTCATGTAACCATTATTACTATTATTAGAGTAATATTTTGATTGCAATTTTTTTCTACTTCAAATAAAGTGGAATACATTATATTTATGCAGGATGTTTTAAAGTACTGTAGTTTTGCATTATTGTAAATGCCCATTTTTAAATTTTGAATGTGTATTCGATTTTTTGGTTATATTATTTTAGTACTTTCTTATGTAAATACTTTATGTTGAGTATATCCTACGGTGTTAGGGAGTCTATAATACATATTTTTTTCTTTACATTCTTTGTATATTCGTGGTATTGTGGTAATCATCTCGTGCATATTTTTTTTGCAAAACCGAGTCGTGTTTATTTTTTGCTAGTTTATCAAAAAGGTTTACTTGTGATATTAACTTTTAAATCCATCCACAATCAGATCTCACTGGGTGAACATATGTCCTTGGCACTTCCATCACTGGACAAGCATTAAGATCCTCCACGCTTTTCCATTCAGGGCCAAAACATGGGCGTCTTCAAAGTCAGTTCCCATGTACAACTCTCAGTTGATACGATGCCGAGCCAACCTACCCGCATGCGAGTTTTCCTCTCTCCCCATCTTTAGCTCTCGTTCGCTCAAGCAGAACCCCATTGCTGATCTGTTTGGAACCATGCCAATAAAACACTGTCATATCAGCTTTTTGACGACTAATTCAACATGCATTGCCAAGGATATCACACAATCACAAAACCTGTGCCCCCATTGTGCATTATTCTTGCTATTCCGCACGGCAATTTCCATCTGCAATGTCATGACGGTTCCCCATGCGAGCACAGGTCGTGCAGCTTCCTCTAAGCCCCAATAACATGTCTTCACAAAGGACGCTATACACATACACGCACCATTAAAGTCCCCCCACCCCCAGTCTTCACCCCCCAACACCCTCCCTTCATCTCTCCAACTACCCCCCTCCTCACCACCGAGGGCACCGAAGGTCACACGGGCTCAGCGGTAACCCGAACCCGACAAGATTTCATCATTGGGGTGCGTTTTTTTCTTCCACAGAAAATCATGGGTTCGCCCAGTTACAAACACCCACGAGGGGTCGGGTGTCGGCCCGCAGACTCGCCGGCACTCTGGGCCCTTATTACATATATTACATTCTGTGGGAGACATCGAGCCAACGGGGCCTCGTTATATAAGAGGGCGTCTGCGTGTTCACACGTGGTGCGGGATTCCTCCGGCACGCACAGCGCGCGCGTGCGTGCGCAATTCACAGTGAAATGCAGCGCCCAGCAACGGATGGCGCATTCCCGTGCAGAGGGACCGGGGGGATGACACGTGCCCACAGCAACTGGGAAAAAAAACCATGAGACAATCCTTCCCCCATCTGCGTGTCTCGGGCCCTCTGCTGCTTCTGACCACCGTGGCTTTTTAGAAGACGTTTATTTCAGAGGCATGGGCAAGAGCCACCTAATTGTCACGATGGTAGCAATCGGGGCAAATCGCCAAGTAGTTGTTTTGTGTCACTCCATCAAGATGTAAATGTAGCGCCTCAAGTGTTTGAGGCTAGGGATATACGGTTATAATTATAATGTTGCTCTGGTGGTGGGCCACTAACATCAGCCAAGCACAGTAATTTATTAAAGTTAACAAGGCAGTTTAGAGTCATTGGTGAATTAGATGTACCAAGTTGTTTATCGTTTGTCTTTCACGTGCATACAAGCACAAATTCAATTATCAACCCTTTCAATTAAATGGGCATCCACGCTTGATTAAATACACTATATAGTGCCTTCACAAAATGAAGGATAGCTGGGAGAGAGGCTCATACAGCAAATGCAACCATGACTTAAACCGACTGCCATGCCATTCATAGAGCCACTTGTGCATGTCACGATCTCAAGGGGCTTCGGAAAGACATGAAACGGCGGTTTCTGCGTTATACATCACTTTATTAACCCCCCCCCCCCCCCCTCCAGCATAAATACATTACAGTACTTACAGTACATGACAAATGCACTTACAGTACATTCATTGAAGAGCCCAAAATGCGAGCGTTAGGTGAAAGGGGTCAGCGGTGCACAGAAGGTCCAGGAAATCCAAAGTGCGAGTTCACTGCAGTCTGCCGATGCTGTCAAATCAGTTTAACAACAAAAACGCCCTTCATGTTCCAATCAGCATCCCCCCCTCCCACCCCCCTCCCCCCGATTATTACAACTTAACATAAATGTGAATAGCCCTTCGTCGGGAATATCCTGGGCTCTCCTGCTGCAAAGTTGAGGAAGTTTAACATGTGAGCCTACAACTCTTTAATGGGGTGCGTTTTGTTTGTGACAAGGTTTTGCCTCTGAGGGTGTCATCAGTGGCTCCTGCCAGTGGGCCAAATACTATTTTAAGAACAACCCCTTCTCGCAGCCAAGGCACTGGCCCAATCATGTTCTGCTGGTCGAGCAGAGAGCCTTCTGGAACACCAAACCCTGTGCCAATATTCCGAAATGCAGATTCCCTGCACGTGACATGAAAACCTTTGATATCTGAAGGACTAAAAACAAATCTGATTTGGCAACACTGGCCATTGTTGACCAGTGGGTGAATTCAGTCTGTACAAGACACGTGCCGCTCCCACCAGAGATTCCCCTAAGCTCTGCACACACTGATACACGATTTTGGCATTGCCGATGACTTTTTGTTGCAGCTGCGATAAACTTTTTTACGGTGAAAACATCAAATTTCCCTTTTTGAATCCATCTGACATCCCGCTGAGATATAACACCTCTTAAAAAAAAGACCTTAGCAAACGTACAGAAAAAGACCACACACAGTCCTGCAATTACATTTTTGTGATTAAGCTGCATATAATAGTTTTTTTTTTACTGCAGTATGTTGGCATTACATACAATGCCAAAACGATTACACATGGTGACGTTGCACGGTGCAATATACGACACAGTCTGGCAGTGGCAACAATCGGCATTAGCCAGTGGTTGCCGTAACAGGATCATGGGCACAGTGCAGATGGGTTCCGTGGAGAATGTATTCACCACAAGTCCATCCATTCGCCTGGACCAGCAGGCTGCATCCCCCCCGCCGACACTTTGGAGCAATATTGGGCTATTAAAGATGGCTTATTCTTAAATGCAACTGGTTGCAAATGTAATAAAAGCCTAAAAATGTATGCATTGCACGGGTAGAAAAAGATTGGGGTTTTGACAGTCACATGCAATTTCAATCACACCACCGATTCATTTCACCAAATTATATCTGAAACCAGCGCCTTAAATTATTGAACTGTCTCCAAACTATGTCCATATTCATTCACTAATAAGTTCATCGATGGGAATGAGAAGCAACAGCTGACTCGAGACCTGAAGGGCCAAACATGTTAGACTTTTATCCAAAGTCAAAACTACATTAAAAGACTAAGTGCTGAAATTCATGTGAGGCCTACATTTCCATCTCACTTAATCGCATCACATTTTTATTCTGTTTTGTTGTTACATGACCTAGAGTTAGCAAAAAGGTATTTCCAAAAGGGCCCCAAGCAGGGCATGTTCTGATGAAGCAGCCACATTAGTCAATAAACATATGAGTCCATTTGCGATGCTGCGGCACACTCTTGTATCACATTGCTTCTGTAGGGCATTCCTTTCCAAGCCCCCCATCATCTCACTCGTTCACCTTCTCCTTCCTGGTGATACTTACTGCTCTTGCTCACTGTTCAATACAGACTAGACACATCCTTTCCATCTGGAACTCTGCATTACGATTGATCCCGTTACACATTCCTTCTCTAGGCAAGTCTGCTTCTAACATTTATTTATTGTGTGTCATTGTACATATAAATATTTGCGTATTAATGCCACCCTCATTATATATGTAACCCTGTAAGGACAGTAAAGAGTTTCCAGATGCTTCTGCAATTCGATGGAATGTAAAACTAAACAATAATGAATCGTAATTTTCAATCCACTTAACAAGCAGATAAGAATGGCTGATGCGGCAAGATGAACCGTCTCTGAACTTTTTCTTCAAATCTACCAAAAGCAAAGTTTTTATTGACAGCTTGAACATGTAAATACATGTTAATTCACAAAGTTAGTCTTGCATAGGGCACACAATGTTTGGCCCTTTGGCCAATAAGGGGGCAGTCTTGTCCCGAGCACTTACGGAACTGATCAAGGGTGAGATGGAAGCTCACCACACCTCTTCCCCCCAGATGCAGTGTGCAGTATCTGTGCTGCACTATCATGTTGTATGGCCAGCCTTCCAAGTGAGTCCTGCACACTAGAGCAGATATCCACAACCACCCGTGATCCCTCGCCGTTCAAATTTGCACGGCAACCAACCGCCATTTGCATGTAACGCACGATTCATGGAAATGTCTCGGCTGATAAAAAAATACGTAAAGCTTTATCGCGTGAGATGGAGGGGATGGAGGGTGCGCAAATACATTGTTTTGTACAATTGTAAACAATGAGCAATTTATATACAGTACAATTATATTCACACTGTGCAAAAGAACAGTGCCACAGCGTGACCTCCAGGCCTCAGGGGTCACGAACGATCCACCTCCCCATTCAACCTACTACATGAGATCCCAATTACATGTGCACGCTCGTATGCAAACACAACGTTGTACCGTACCTTCTGTGCAAGGGCAGGGAAATCAAAGTGGGTCTTGTGTGGTGCCCGTGATTTTTGAAGTTCCCAAACCAAGTGCTCGCGCACGTACAAGTACCTTATATACATTGTGTTTGTTAAGTAAACATGTGTCTATGTGCACAGAGCAAGTGTACGTAACATGTAACATCATCTGAAGCCTTACATAGGTTCCCACAAGCCTGCTTGGATTCAACCTAAATGAGAGGGTGCACATTTTTTACGGCTCTTACGCTTCACTGCTATCCTCAAGACCTCCCCAAGGTGCATGGCCCACGCTTTCACTGTCTCCCTTTCACAAGATGTTGACAATGCATTTTGCCCACGCCACGTGGTAACCAAGAACAAACCTGCACTGTGGAAAATTGTGAGTGGCAAGGCATGGGAGGCTATAACCGTGGATAGGAATAAATGAAACCATGGTAGAGTATAAGAGCAGATTAAGTATTTACTTTACTTATGGTCATTTCTTCCACGAGAATCACTTGTTTAACATATTCATAACTGGGCTGGACCGCTTCAGCCCTGTGACCTGGAGCACGGATTTGGATAACATGTATTATGCAGATTCTTATGCACTTCACTACCCCATCATCATCCAGATTTAAACAGCTACTATCACATTTCATCATCAGCCATGTTCTCTCCACCGCTGGATGAAGGACCCCCACCCCCCCCCCCCCGAAATTGTCACCACACCTCATGGTTGTATGATGCCACGATCCGTCCCGCTCCTACGCTGAGCTTAACTCATCACCCCATGTGCACAGTACTCATCTCCGGGGGCGTATTTCTTCCTTTGGCTGCGACTCAGTTGTTAGTCTCGACCACCGGCTAACATCCCTTTGAGCAATGCGTCCTTCCCAATCTTACTTTTATTTAACAGTCCCTAATTTGCACTTCTTCTCTGATCCATGTGTTCTATTTTCCTGTCTATCACTACAATTCACAGAATGCATTTCTCCTTCCATTCCTCCTCTTCACCTGTTTCCAATTCCATGTCATGACAGGCGATGTGCAGTGATTCCAGCCTCTCTAAAATAATTGCCTTGGGTACACGTGCTCTGTTGTGTTTTCCAATTGTGTTCCTCCGCAACAGCTACTGTCCTTTTGCTCCACAAAACTTGTCGCACGTGACTTTTCTTTCATCTCATTCATCTTCAGCCGCACTTTTCGGCCGTCGTATGAAGTTCTTCAATCGTTTTCTGGAGTACCCCGCCCTTGATTGTTATAATGACGACGCCATCAGCAAGTCTTATATAATAGGATGGCTGTAGCTTCAAAGCTTGACTGTGGAGCTGAGGGGCGAGGGGAGGTTATGAGCAGAGTAGTTGAGGGACCACTGTGCTTTTGGTCTGATATAAGTGGGGTTTAGCAACTTCAGATGGCATGGGTCACACTCTACCTTTTCTAATCTGCTCCATCCACTTGCAACGACATATCCGCGAACGCAGTACGTCAGCACACCCGCCCATGCGACAGAAATGCGCTGATTGGCAAATAGCGAAAGGTTGGGCGCACGTGACCCCGGGGCCTCTGGTTGTGTGCCTCTTTAATTCAGAGTGATCTCATGCCCCCCGTAGGTTCGCAATGTGACAATAATATAATAATTCCCTGGAAGTGCCTCACAAGTGATTGACTTTCATTTTATATATGCACACATTTACAATTGCAACAATCATTTTTTCAGATATTGCTCTATATCTCTATACAGAAAAAAAAAATATCGTGCTATTATTCACTGTAAAGCAATATTTTATATATATGTTGTACTGTATATGCTGTGTTCATGCAAGAACGGGCAAGTGCCACCATTCTCACGACCTCCCTTTGGTCAATTTCCACCACGTGGATTACACCTCTTTATACAGGACTCCTGCGAGGAGCTGCGCTCAGCCTGCGCCATGAGGGGTTCACGCAACGTGAGCTCTACCACCGAGAATAGGGCCCGAAGTGACTCAACTAAAACATTGACATGGGTGGAATGGGAGAGCCGGTGACCTCAAGGGCGGCACGAGTGCATGAGATCAGAGGCGAGGGGGGAGGCGAGTCGGGAGGGGCGGGGGGCGGTGCGGAGAAGCTGAGTGCGCGCCTTGGAGGTGGCGACGGGATTATCCGCTGAGTGGCCGCAAGTCGACCCGCACCTTCTCGTGGCAGCTGAGCATGCCCACGGTGGGGAAGAAACCACCGGGAGGCACACGGGCATCGCGCCTGCCCACCACCTTGCCGTTCCGCGTGAAGAATACCTGGCCGCACAAACAAAAAGACAAAGATCCCCACCCCCCCCCCATATAGCCTCAACAGACTCTTGGGGCAAGTGCTGTATTGTTTGTTGTTGTTGTAACGCTCTCACCCGCCCCTACTGGACATCTGTGAAAAATAACTTCATAGCTCATCAGATTATTCTAGTATAAATACATATTCTGCTTCTGATTCTGAACCCGACCTTCAAGTCACTACTTCCGAGTGCAAATCATCTCCATACGTGGCATTTAACATTGAAGTCCGTAGCCAGCCGTGAGCAATGCCGTGCTGTGTTTCCGTACCATGACTTTGATCCCGGGCGGCTCTGGGTCCTGGTCTCCCTCGCCGTCATCTCCATCTTCTTTGTCGTCCTGCTGCCACTCGACCCGCCTGTCCCTGCCGTCTCGCTCCTCCTCGTCCTCCTCCTCGTCGTCCTCCTCGTCCGTGTCGCTGCCGAAGGTCATGTTGTCTCGGGGGAGTCGGGGCTGCCAGATGTCGACCGCTTCCTCGGGCTCTGGGTCCACGGGACTCACGTTCCACTCAGGGGTGCCATCGCTGTCACCTGGGAAAGGCGCACAAGCGCATAAGCATGCACAAATATTTATTGGAATGTTATAAAACAATAATGAACATTGTGAGGACTCGGATACAAACGAAGATGCTCTTGTACTGACAGTGGGCCACGACGAGCACGAACATGGCATGGTCTCACCACAAATGTGCAAAAATGTGGAACCGCAAGGCAAGGGGGTGGGCGACCTTATAATTTATATGTGTTGTATATGGATGTTTTCTGAGTGCAATGCAGACAATGGAGCATCCTCCACTCCGTGACGAGGCGCCTCACAGCTAGCTCGGTCGTGAAGCTGGACGGCCGACGGTCCCCAAGGGGGCTCCACGCTTGGGCCATAATTGCGTGAGATTATGTTATCTGCAAAACGAGCACAGCGCGCGATCGACGCCTCATTGTGCCAGATTTAAATTCCTTTAGGCTGAACGCTTTGCTAAAATTACCGTAAAAATTAAGCACTTTGGTCCACCCCTCTCGTACTCACCCCATTCGCCCCCCCCCTCCCCCTGAACCCTCAAGCCTTAGTCAAATGGCCCCCTCAGGATACCTCCCGGCACCAAGTTCGACTCGCATCAAGGCTAATAACCAGAGGGGGCAGCCACGCGTCGATTAGGTGCGTTCACTGGCGTCACTTCACGCGCATACGTGCAGGCGTGCTGGGAAAGTCTCCCCAGGGACAGGGGGGGCGGTGGGTGTGGGTGGAGTGGAGGGGGGAGCTGTGTAGAGGGCGAGTGGGGAGGGGAGAGCTGTGGCGGCGGGGGGGGGGGGGGCGGCATGTCCCGTTTGCGAGGTCCCATTAAACGATCCCGAGAGGGCACGGCGATGAAGGCGAGCTCTGTAGTCGCTCGATTGCGGCCGCAGCGCGCGCCGGCCGCCTGGCCCTCGGGGCATGGGGGGCAGACGCTACCGCGCCGCGGCTGTATCAGGTACTACATAATAGGGGAGCGGTGGTGGCGGGGCGAGCGGCTGGGTAAGGGGGTTGGGGCTGTGTGCAGGCGGGGCAAACAAGGGGGTACCTCTTTATAGAGAGAGAAGGGGGTTGGGTAGGGAAGGGGGCAGCAGGAATGCACAGCCTCTCTGGTAGAGCCATCGCCTGCGCTGTCGTCGGGCTGGATGTGCGGACGCAAACAAAAGCTGCCAGCGCTGCTGTGAGGCAATATTGGCTGTAAAGGTGCATCTGTCTGCCTGTCCCGGTCTTTACATTGGCCCGTTTAAATTGGCCCGTTTAAATTGCCCTTCTCTGCCTCATCTCTCCAAAAATGTCAGTACCCTCTTTTTCCCTGCCATGGCTGGCCTGCCTATTTGTCTTGACTCCAGCGACCTGGAATGGTTAAAAGACACCAAAATTGTGTGTGTGTGTGTACAAAAAGAGAAGTGAGAAATATGTAGCTATCAAGCAAATACTACGTGAAGTAGTTATTAATACTCATACTAGTTATTAATGTAGGGAGAGGACCTATAACACACAAAAACAACTGGAAAAACAATTTGAAAAATTCTGGCCTCACGCATTATCGTCTATGGCGTGCAATATTTCTACCTTGCTCTATCCCCACATTGCTCTTTCTCTATTGCTCCCTCTTCTTTTGTCAGTTTTCCACCTTCATGAGAGAGTTTCAATGTCCATGGCGTCGTGGCGCCGTTGGTCAGCTGCTTGGGGGCGAGGGTCAGGGAACACCGCTTACCCTCACTGTCCAGCTGGTAGTCGCGCGGGAAGGTGATACCGCAGCCCATGACGTCGCCCTTGGAGCAGCGGGGCCCAAATGCGTCGCCGATGCCACTCCCATGGAATATTTTACCATCGTCTTGACACATGCAAGACACACGCGCAGCACACAGACGCACACAAACATGGGCGATTCTCTGTTTAAGCCTTGTAGACTGTTGAAGCGATTTCTTTCAGACCGAGTCAGCCTTGGAAAGGGCCAGGCGAGGTTCAATTATGAATTGTTACTGATGTACGAAGCAGTCCACGAACCCAGATAATCGTGACATGGGAAAAAATACTGCACGCCGCTGCTCCTCATGTAAGCACGTACGTGCGTACGCACATGTACACCGCACACAAACCTCCGACCCGATGATCTTCAATTTTGCAGCATTAAGTTGATGTCGTGCAAGGCGTAACAAGGGCCTCTCTAAAAAGCAGGTGTTGTGAATCCCTGGCACTTGAACCCAATCGATTCCGAGCAGGTAAGGCTGCACACATTAGCCCACATGTGGCTAAATGGAACAACTGCAAATGTATAGAAAAATCACTCTTTCCAGCAGGATTCAATTACCTGCACCTGGGATGGGTATTAGATGAAACAAAGAGCAGACAACACTCTCCATAAAACAGAAATGCTCCCTGCCAATCATCCCTGATATAAATCCAAGATGGGCAACTCCAGACATCGTGGGTCAAACACAGGCCATCTGTCTATGTTTACCGATCCATCTCTCCTTGCCTATAGGTAGGGTAAAAAGCATAACTGCAAGCATCTGTTGACTGTTCAACCGGGAGAATATTACCGTCTGGCTCATAAAATCTGCGAATTTTCCCATCCCTGTTGCGATCATGACAAATGTAATTTATTTACCCAGGTTAAGACTCACTGAATCCGAAAACTCAGAAGCATCCTGCATTAGAATGTTTAGCTCATTAATTTTAAGGAGTGTTGTGCATTTGGGAAAAACTCGGGGTACATGGAAAGTGGCCACACATATGCAACTTATATTACAATTTATGATTATGTTTGTTTGCTCAGGAAAGCCTTACTGAGTCTCATGACTCTGTTAGGGAGGGTCCTGCCAAACATTTGCAGTAGGCGGTGACTTGTATAATCCAAATTGAGTAATATGCGGGTGATATTTCATATGCAGAAAAAGTGGACCATAAACGCCGGCAGACAATGGCCTACTCTTGCGAATGCCGTCACGGGATCGTTAACATCCATCGGGCGTCATACCACTCACTCAAAGGTCAGCACCGATGGGTTCAGGAACCCACTTTATGTACTTTCATTTCCTGACCACTCGTAGCCCAGTGGGTTTCGGAGTTTCACTCATCTATGTGATTCATCAACCTCGAATCATCAACCTGGAATCTGCCTCATCAGCAGAACATTTGTGAAGGTGATGTATGTATGTTGAACTTCCTTCGTAACGTACATAACCGACAGTGCTAATCGGAGGCGCAGGGGAAGGACAACAAACTAAACACAAAAATCAGTTTAAAATAATTTAGTTTTCCATCTAGATTTAAAGTGCATAGCTTCAGTGGCTTCGTAATATTGGAAGGAAAACGATTCCAGACGGCCGCAGAAACGCATCTTGGAAGCGCGCGATGCAGTGACCATCGTTGTTCGATGGCTATCCAAAAGTTTGATGGCTATCTCAGAAAATGTATGCTGGGCATGCCGAATGTGGGCAGCCGAGCGAGGGTGTGGCACGTGGAGAAGAGAGGCGGGTGGGAGAAGTGCGGGGAGACGTGAAGAAAAACCCAGCACCTGCGCTAGCTGCTAATCCATAAATCACGGTCATTTTCAGATTTACGACACGTGTTTAGGTAATCGCGTTTGCAGGCTCACAGAAAGTGCTGGGAAGACAAATGGTACCCTTTGTGTGGCATGTCTTACAACTTGAGACGGGTGGTGGTGTGTGTGGTGATCACACCGACCGGATGCAACGTAACAATCTCCACTTACCCCTACGTTCAGGTGTCTGTCTGTCTACCTATCTGCTTGTCTTTCATTGTGCTCGCTGTCTATCTGGCACTCGATTTAACCATTCATCCATCATTCCATGAATACATGCACGGAAACATCCAAAAGCTTGCATTCAAGTTCTTTACAAGGTACGTACTCACTCCTCCATTCCTCCCCACAACAATTTTCAGAAACGTCACAATTTGGGTTCACGATACCATTAAACCAAACATCCACTTTCGCCATGTTTTTTTGACAAAATGCGTGCGTTGTTACATGCCTCATGAAATTATTATTCGCTGCAATCTTAGAGATGCTCCATTGCCCAGCTTGCCAGTCGGAATTAATGTAATAAAACATATATATAATTTGGCTGATAAATAGCAAGTTTACCCACAAGAAGAGAAGCAGATGTGGAAACCTGGGGTTTGGTACAGGATGTCCCTGTGCCCTTATTGGCTGTTTTAATCACGTGATGTCAAATAACTGGGAGACTTAAAAAAAAATTCTGCATAGATGGAAGCACAGTCAAGGCAGCTTTTCACAATGGCATGCAACTCCGTTGGCCGTTTAGACAAATGCCCCTTCTGTTGTATGTCAAGCAAAGCGTGCCATTGCTGCGATCATGCAAGTGGCCAACATAATTCTGAAGACCTTCCTGCAGTTAACAAAGGTTCCGCAATAACGTCATGTCTAAACTGGTCCTACAGCAATTGCGCCGAGATTATGTTGGCCCTCGCTGACGTATGTGCCAAGGCTCCTCCTGACCACGCTTCTTCGCCGGATGGCCCATGGCTGGGGAATGAGCAGCTGTCCGTAACCTGCTGGGCATCCAGCAAGCGAGCAAGAAGAGCGAGTCTGCGGGAAGCTTAAGCGGGCCATTGGCTCATCTCGCTCTCTCTCTCTCTCTTTCATAAGCCAGCTGCAAGAAACAGCTGCACGCTGGCGTGAAATGTGCTCGATCCAACTAAGCAATGGGCACCGATGCATCCAGCGCAGTTCTTTCCGTAACAGGAGGCGACTCAACAAAGGGCATCCTTTCCCAGTCGCTCCGATCCATTGCCATGATTAAGCAAGGTCTCTGCCCCATGCTAAATGCACAATGCTAGAGGATTAACTGTAGACAAAAGCCAAGAGGCCAACAATCCGCACCTGATGAACGGGGTTTGCGCTGCCTTCGTCTATGCACACCGCAAAGGTCTCCACTGAATAAAGTTTCACGTGTTGATTTGCCGTCGAGAAGCTACTCCTGTTAATGTCTCAAAAGACTGCCACAATTGACGCACAAGTTCTGAGTCACGAGCGTGAGTTCACTGTGACGCCTCTCCCAGTGACCCACCGTGGTCCCAGAAAACCTCACTTGACTTGCGCGCATCACTCATTTTCCTTACAACAAAGACATCGACTCTTCAGTGCCTCGCACACTCAATAGCTCGCTCTTTAATGCAGATGTGAAAAGGTGAGTCACTTGGGATTAGCAAGTGTGGCACTTGCGTAGGATAACGATGATTCATACAAAAAGACAAAAACGATCTCCCCCTCGTAGCCTGAATAGAGCAAAGCAAGACGAGCGTGGTGAGTAAGCAACTTTTACGGCCGATGCACGTCACGAGAATTTGTGGTGGCGTGGGCAATTTCAAGGGAAGCCAGCCGATATAATTTAAATTAGCTTTCAAATAAAATGAAACGCTTGGAAGTTGCTGCTGCGCAGCAGAAAGACAGAGGAGGGCTCTTGAAGCCTTAAAAAAAAAACACGTTTTGCGCAAGGATTGCAGGAGTGTCGCCTTCTTGGGAGCTGCACTACTTGTCTCGCCTCCAAGTGGCATCTGCCCGCACCCACTCTGCTGAGCACACAGCGCCGATCTTGCGGCGCGGCAACGAGCCGGCTGTCCGTCGGTTTGGCTGCAAGCCTCCAAAGGCAACCTTCATCCAGATTACTCCGCATCTGTATCTCTGAGTGTATACAAGCATGTGCTGCGCGAGTTGTCTTTGTGTTGACTGCTGTATATCAGCATCCGGTGTGGCTTGTGAACAGGAGCCACGACTGCAAATGCACGGATCTGGTCACACCAGCCCTTCTTGTGCGTTGTCGGCTATCGTAGGTGCTCCCATAAATAACATTCCCCAATAATCTAAAAAGAGACTAGTTGCCTCTGTGTGTGTAGCTGTATATCTGATTAGGGGTGCGGTGGAGCAGCGTCTAGCACGCTACGCTACGAACACCGCGACCTGAGTTCAATTCCTGCTCACGGCCAACGCCAGTGACGATTATTTGAACCGGTCCTGGGCCTTCCCTGGGTCGACTCGGCCTCAAATGAGTACCCGGTGCGGTGTGTAAACATCGCCAGTGGGGAGGCAAAGGCAGTCACGTGTGGTGCCGGCCACCCACCCACCCCCTCCGTGTGCTGTGGCAGCCTTCATACATGCTCGCTGACAGCACTTGCCCCAAAAGTGTATTAAGGATATGGGTGGATCTTTCTCTTTGTATATATCATCTTAATAATTTAACCTGCGACACCCGGGACTGTCGTGTGACCTGTTGCCAGCAAGCCTTAAAGTGTACCTAACCTGGCACAAGCGCCGTGGTGACAAGACCACCACGTATTGGTTAGTGATGGTTCTTTGTTTGCATGCACATGCATCAGTGCAGTTGTACATGAATAGAACTGAAAGCCAAGCATGTGACCAGTTGCAGAGCAGTGGAATATCAAGATGGAATGCAGGTGTTCGCAATCAAGTGGTTCATCAGTCTGCATGGCCAGGAAATGATGTTCACACACACAATCCAATTCGAACTAACATAAAATATAACGGAGAAACAATCTAATGTGCCAGTAGCAATGTGCATGCGTGTGTACATGTCATGTTTGCACGTTAATTGTTAAATGTGCTTTGCACGTTCACTTCATATTTTAACAGATTCAGTCATATGTAATTCGTATGTTTATTACAGCTGTGCAAACAAACACATATATATCCATGCAATTAATAAAAGCATTCATATGCTTAGCATAAATAATGGATTCACTAATTCTAAACATGATTCATGTCCTACATATATTACACATATATATTAGGAATGCACATGGTATGATTTGCGTACATCAGCCACTGCC